CCCCCCACCCTTCCATTTCTCTTTCTCTTCCAGTTCACAAAGAGTTAAAATGACACAGACCTTTTTCCAAATATCCAAATGTATTTTTGCCAAAAGCGTGGGCCCAGCCTGCAGAACATCGTGCGTGGTGTGGAGTGTGGTTTCTGGAGGGACACGGTTTGAAATCTCAGCTTTACCTCTCCCTGGCCCCTCCTGCGTCATTTCCTCACCTGTAAAATGGGAATCATAGCACCTACCTCACTGTGTTGTGTGAGGGCCACATAATGAAAGCGCACATAAAGTGCCCCGCATCCTGACTGGCATATTTTGAGCTTCTGTAAATGCGGCTACTGTTGTTTTTAATGGTCATCTATCGTAATACTTTTGTACTGAGCTGGCCAGTGCAGTGCCCATTAGCCACATGTGGTTATTGAAACTGAAATTAATTTTCAGTTGGTTTAGTGGCTGACTCTCAATTTCGGTTCAGGGCATGATCTCCCGGTTCGTGAGTTCGAGCCCCGCATCGGGCTCTGCACTGACCCTAAGGAGCCTGCTTGGGATTCTCCCTCTCTCCCTCTCTCCCTGCCCCTTCCCTGCTCGTGCTGTTTTTTTCCTCTCCAAATAAATACACTTAAAAAAGTAAAATTAAAAGTAATTAAAATAAAATAAAAAATTCAGCTCCTCCGTGGCATGAGCTACATTCCAGTGGCCACATGTGGGGAGTGGCCACCACGGTGGCCAGTGCAGCTAGAGAACATGCCCGTCATTGCAGAAAGAAAGCTCTACTGGACAGAGCTGTTCCAGACATCTGACCTGTAAGCTTTAATTTGTTTCCTCTTTTTAAATTTTATTTATGGGGCGCCTGGGTGGCGCAGTCGGTTAAGCGTCCGACTTCAGCCAGGTCACGATCTCGCGGTCCGGGAGTTCGAGCCCCGCGTCGGGCTCTGGGCTGACGGCTCAGAGCCTGGAGCCTGTTTCCGATTCTGTGTCTCCCTCGCTCTCTGCCCCTCCCCCGTTCATGCTCTGTCTCTCTCTGTCCCAAAAATAAATAAACGTTGAAAAAAAAATTAAAAAAAAAATTTTATTTATTTGTTTTGAGAGAGAGAGCCAACAGGGGCAGAGAGAGAGGGAGAGAGAGAGAATCCCAAGCAGGCTCCACGCTGTCAGCAGAGAGCTCGACGCGGGGCTCGATCCCACGCACCGTGAGATCATGACCGGAGCCAAAGTCGGATGCTTAACCGACTGAGCCACCCGGGTGCCCGTTTCCTCTTTTGGATGACAATGTAATCCCGAGTATCCCATGGCCATTCTCCCAGCACTGAACGAGACCTCATTTTAGCTGAGTATGTTATAGTTCTTCAGTCCAATCAAAAGGGTGGCACCGTTGGGCGATTTGAGGATTGCTCTGTAAAATACACGGTCCCCCCCCCCCCCACCAATCTTATCCACATGTCAGATGTTTTACTTTTTCCTCTTTGCAGGTGGAGATCACACAATCACATATCCTATATTGCAAGCGATGGCCAAAAAGTAAGTCCCAGGTGTCTGGTTCCACACAGGGTTTCAAACTTCAGGGGCTAGGGAATGAGTTGTTTGTGACTCCCTGGCATCAAGTGACCTCTGCTGGCTCAGGTTATTTGGGGTGATAGGAAATTCCCGGCTGAGTTGCTTCTGTGGATCAAAATTAAGGTCGGGCGAGCTCCAGGTGTCTCTGTCAGTCACCAGCTGGGAGCCAAGACGATTTATTTTTAACACTTCTGGCCACCCTGGCTTGCCCTACATCGGCTCTGGTGAATGCATGCTCAGCCTGTGCCTCTGTTTGGGGAAGATGAACCCCTCGTGAAATATACAACCCCAGTTAACTTCAGTTTCTGTTTTGCTTCCACGGCCAAATGCACAATGATGTTGCTTGCCGGGGAGGGGCCCCGTTTCTTCCCGAAAGGGCCCCTTCCCCAGAGAACGAGAAAATGGATATTCTAGTAATGGAAGTCTACCAGGGACGAACTAACTTTGGTTAATTAGCTTGAAGAAGAGGCAGAAGGGCCAAGGCGGTGGCGGCTCCAGTATCCATATGAGGGAAAGACATGTGGGCAGCCTTCTGGTTGGTGGTGGGTGGGCTCAAGTCTTTTCTGGAGGCTGGGCTTGCCCAGCATCGATTTAGACGATATGTTTCTTTGGGGCGGCCGGCAGGGTTGATGGAGATTATGGAGAGGGAGCTGGGTTTGAACCTGCTTCTTGGTTGTAGAAAGGCTCTGATTAGTTCAGCCGAGCTCACCTGAGCCCCATCCTTCCTTCTCATCCTCCTGGGCCTCTCCGTCTCCAAGTGAAGAAAATTCGTGGTGCTAGGTAGTGGGTGGGTAAGCTTCAGTACCTGTCTGTTCTCTGCCTGCCTTTCTCTGAGTTTATCGCTCTGAGATGCTAAACGATTTGCAGACGGAAACCAGTTGCAAGGCCGGTAATTGATGGCAGGTCTCCGCTCCGTGGCCATGAACTGTGAAGTTTGGAAGTTCGGTGGCCTAGGGGGTGGCTGTGCTCAGGCCCCGGGAGGAGGTCTGGCCTCTGAGCTGTGTGTTGTCATCAGGCATGGCCCCGTGGGGCTGCTGCACGTGGATGCCCACACGGACACGGCTGACAAGGCCCTAGGAGAGAAGCTCTATCACGGGACGCCCTTCCGCCGGTGCGTGGACGAGGGACTCCTGGACTGTAAGCGTGTGGTCCAGATCGGCATCCGGGGCTCTGCCATGACCCTGGATCCCTACAGATACAGCTGGAGCCAGGTGACAAACCAAACGCCCCTCCCTCTGTCCCCAGTCTGCAAAGTGCCCTTCTGTCCGGTGCCCCCTCAGTGGTAGCTGTAGATTCAACAGGGGCTTCAGTGACCAAATTCAGAAAACGGGACGGAAGGCCGAGTGTCCATCGAGAGGGTCACGTGGAGCCGAGAGGAGCGAGGCTGTTAGTTCGTGAGGCAAAGGAGGCCTCTCGTCGCTGGGGTGGGGAGGCGGGTGGAAACACACCCATCCCTGGGCCGTCGCTGGCTTGGAAAAGAGCCGGGGAGGCCCAAAGCCAAGGCGAGCGGCCACCTTTCCAGTTCCTGTCCTCTTCCCCACCAGGCAGAGTGGCTCCTAGGTGGACACGTGTGACAAGATCCCAACAGGAAAGACCCAAGTCCCCTGCTTTTAGAGTGTGCCAAGGCTAGTCTTGGAGGAGGTGCTACCACGAGCTGACCCGAGTTTCTCCCTCCCGTCCTAGCCAAGCTGCTCTCTGATCCCGTCCCCCTGGGGCAGCTTCGACTTCCTACCTGCTTCTTCACCAGCTGTCGTTCCTCCCTTCCTCACCAGTCAAACGGGGACGACCGTTCCGTCCTCGTGAAGATTGGGGGTCACGTGTGAAGCGTCCACAAGCACTTGGCGTGGGGTTGGCACAGGAGAAATGCCCCGTAAATGCTGCCATGCAGAAGCCTCGACCTCCCGCTCTTTACTTCCTGCCTCCTCAGGGCTTCCGGCTGGTCCTGGCTGAAGACTGCTGGATGAAGTCCCTGGTTCCTCTGATGGGGGAAGTGAGGCAGCAGATGGGAGGCAAACCCATGTACATCAGCTTTGACATTGACGGCTTGGATCCCGCCTATGCCCCGGGGACAGGGACGCCTGAAATTGCTGGTCTCACCCCTAGTCAGGTAAGGAGGTTTCACCAGTGATAGTTCCTGGGGGTGAGGATTCTTAGCCAGCGCCCCCCCCCCCCCCC